CCAGCCCTAGTTACTAGGTTCCACACCTGAGCAGGGGGAACAACAGACAGTATTTGTGTGATATACTCTGGAGTCAGATAGATCTGAATTCACTTAAGGATTCTGGTACTTACTAGACCTATCTGACTTTCCCTGTGCCTCAGTTTCCCCTTTTGAAAAATGCATGAGTGAGTAGTTCCTAACTCATGGGAAGGATGAGTCCCTCATTTGCCTCTTTGACATCAGATCTTCTCTCCATACTGTATCTGGAGGGAATGACCCTGCAAATTCATGGATGCCTCAGGCTCCCCTGGGAAAACTGATGGATGTTAAAAGGGCAGACACAGGGAAAGGCAAGGTCTGCTCCTCTTACTGGGTGGTGATGGTCTAGGCTCATTTTGGATAGTGGTACTATGCTTAGGCCCCTTCCTGGGTGGAGATGCTCTGGTCTAGGCACCTCCTGGCTTCCTGTCTCCTTTTCCCAGGTGACAGTCACTCCAGCACTAGGGAGCGTAGCCATTTTGGGCTGTTACTAAATTCTGGATTGCTTCACTATCTCTTTTTGTTGCTTCAGCAATTCCGAGACCCATCTAATTAGTTCTCTGTGTGAATGTCCCTCTCCTGAGCTTTCTAGCATGGACTCTGTTTTCTTGGCTGCTTCATGGTTCAGAGACTGGCTTGACAGTGCTTGTAATGTGTTTAGAACTGTGCTTAGCACGTAGAAAGTGCTGGATAAGGGGACCGTACAAAATGTACTTACTGCCCACCTATAGCCTTTGCTGCCAACTTGCCCCAGACAGAGCCCTGGGAACATCAAAGGCCCTGAACCATTGTTTACTTCTTCCAGAATGATCACATCTATAGACATATGTGTCTGTTTTCACTGGTGGTTACCTAATCTTTCAAGGTAAAGGGATGTGAATTTGACCATGGAATTCATAACACATGTCACAATTTTACTTTTAAGATTTCAAACTTCTTACTGTGGCTTACAAAACCTAGCTTTATCTGATCCTGACTGTCCCCTCCTTCTGCTGCTCTCTAACCTCACTGGCCTTGGCTCAGGTTTCACTCTCTGTCAAGCTCCGTCTTACCTTTGGGTTTTGGAATGTTTGTTTGCCCCCTGGACACATCTTCTCTGGGCTCCTTTCATGGAGAGATCATTCTCGCCCTGGCTCAGTGTGGTAGCGCCCCCATCTAGAAACCCTCTCTGACTGTTACTGGAGTCTTACTGTGGCTTCCTCTAGGCTTCTCAGTCCTGTGATTCCCCAACAAATGTAGATGAGACACGGTGTAGTGTAAAAGAAGACAAGCAGAGATTATTACAGGATAACACGAGGCATTGTCAAGGTTGAGATTATAAAATGGTCAGAGAGCCCATCGTGAAGGAACAAGCTCTCACAGAATAAAAGTGGACAATGGCCAGATAAACCATTATACTGACTGCTTTTTAAGGTAGACTATACACCACTGTTTATTAAGGTTTCTGGAACAGTAAGCTTCCTGAGGGGCATTTTCCTGTAAGAGTAATTGACCATTAAAATATTGTTCTCTTTTTTTTTGAGAGAGGGTCTCATGAGTTCACTCTGTAGCTGAGGGTGAACCTGAGCTCCCAATTCTTCTGCCTCCAACTCCCCAGTGCTGAGATTATAAGCATGTCCCATAATGCACAACTCGAATGACCTCTGAAGGATGGGAGGATAGTGTCTTAGTGCTATACCAGAAAGCTAGGCAATATTCTTACAATCTTCTGGGCAGTTTAGAATATCGTGTTTCTATCCAAGTCCAGAGATATGATTCAGATCTGGATCAGTAATCAAAGTCCTGTGGTTTCGGTTCCTGAAGCTGCTGATTATAAGGGAGCTCAATGACCTTCAATGACCTTCTAGCCTGCTGATATCTAACCAGCTACCTAACTTGACTATCATAAGGCCAGTCACTTCTGTTATTCTGTGACATGTTTAGACTCTTTATTGTTTCTTCCTTATTTTTATTTGTTTATTATGTTTTGTCCTCCTGTCCATTCCTATCTGCCAAGGGCCATTAGACTCTTAATTCACTGGGGCCATATCTATGCATGGTATCGTCCTCTTTGCATCTTCAGCACATAGTTAGATGCCTGCTACAAAATAGACTCAGTCAGTGGGTTGTGAACGAATTAATGTTGAATTGAACCTGTCTTTAAGCTGTTCCCTAGACTCCAAAAGTGATTGATCATTTTTGGAAGTCTGCCTCCTGCCCCTTACTTGGGTGGCATGAAGGACAACTAGAGACGCTGGCTTAGTTCCAGTGGGTTTTCCTTTCTTATTTGGAGCCTGTGTGGCACATGGTGCTCTTTCTTCTGTGACATACGCCACTACTAGAACTTTCACTGAGGCTCTGAACACTCTCACTGTTCAGATGCTCTGCTTTGCCTTCTGTCAAGGATCTGCTGAGTCGAGTGCTCTGCACTGGATGTGGGGACTCTCACACCTGAACCACAGTTGGACTCTTCAACTCTGTCCTCATCTCATGCTGACTCCTCTCCCCATTTTAGATATGCTTCCCTTCTTATGTAATCCAGCTTGACATCCAGGGAGAAACAGAAGTCCGCTTAAGTCCTGGCTGGCTGGCTGCTCACTCCAGTCAAGCGGCCTCTTATTTGGTGTCCCATCACAAAAGGCTGTGAATTGCAACCACTCAGGCTTCCTTAGGAATTTAGGGGTCTGAGGCTGGAGAGATGGCCCAGCAGTTAAGACCCAAGTTTGGTTCCCAACGCCTGCATGATGGCTCACAACCATCTGTAGCTCTGGTTTCAGGGGATCTGAAGCTCTCTTCTGGCCTCCAAGGGCACCAGTACAAATGTGGTATACATACATACATGCAGGCACACATTCATACACATAGATACAAAAAATGTTTTTAAAAAATTGGAGCTGGAGAGATGGCTCAGATATCAAGGGAATACTGCTCCTGCAGAGGACCTGAGTTCAGTTCCCAGCATCCACATCAGGTGGCTCACAACCATCTATAACTCCAGATCAAGGGGGATTCAATGACTCTGGCCCCTGCAAGCACCCACATGCACATGCACACACACACACACACACACACACACACACACACACACACACACACACACACATCAATAAAAAAAATATAAATCAACACACACACACACACACACACACACACACACACACACACACAAGCACATCATTAAAAAGAAAATAAATCTGAAAAAAAGCATTTAGGGAACCTTGGGACTTAGGTAGTAAGGCCTGGCTATACTCCAGAGAAAAGAGGAAACATCCTTTGTTCCTTCAGTGTAAGCTAGTATTGCCTTAAAGACTATACAAGCTAATTCCTTATTACCTGACTCTGCTCACCAGGTACCCTGGTTCTCCTCAAACCAGTCCTCTGCCCTGAGGCACAACTAGTAGCTGGAGGCTTGGAATAGTTAAGTTTCTGCTGTGCTTCTTCCCTGAGGAGCTCAGCTAGGCAGCAGACCATGCTAGGTGGCAGGCCATGCTAGACAGCAGGCCATGCTGGGCCAGGTCTCCTCAAAATCTGATCATCTCAGAGCATTTGATGGCCACCCTGAAGGACTGTTGCTCCAACCTGCCTTGTTCTGTGGACCCTCCCATCCTAGCTTGTGCATTCCTTGAATCTGGCTTTGGCATATCCTTTTGAGCCTTACCTTTGACTATGATTAGCCTCAGTACTGGGAGAATTTTCATCTTCTGTTCTATTTGGCTCTGTTTTTCTGTCTTCTTTTCCCTGAGCTGAGCCCCAGCATGCCTTATACCTGAGCCCACAAAGTTTACAGTATTGTCAGTAACTGCTCTGTCCACTTTAAGACTTGGAAGAAAGTGGATGTATGTAAGAGAAAGGATCAGAAATATTTTAGCATTGGAGCAACAGTGGTTGGGGCCTGTTGGCTGGGCCACATGGTGCAGCATTTTGGAAGGTCCTGATTTTTCTTTGCTTTTTTTTTTTTTTAAAAAAAATTAATTTAATTTATTTTATTGAGCTTTTAAAATTTCATACAATATTTCTCACTCACATCCAGACTTCAGACCCCCTCCCATCCACACCTCCCCTCTCCCCCCACCAAACCCTATGCACTCTGCCATAGATGCTGAGTCCTATTTATTCAGGTGTTTGTACCCAAATGTCCTGATTTTACTAGAAGGCAGAGAAGTCATTATTGGCTACTCTGAATTGTACAAATTTGAATGAGAACCAATAAAGATGTGATGGGTAATGCAATCACAGGTCTAGAGGTAGTGAGTGTGTGGGCCAGGCATAGTGGCACACACCTTTAATCCCAAAACTCAGGAGGCAGAGCAGTTGGATCTCTGTGTGTTCGATGTCAACTTTGTCTTCATAGTGAGCTCCAGGACAGCTGGGGTTACACAGGGGGAGATCCTGTCTCAAGAAACAAATGAACAAAATCCCCCAAACAAGCAAACAAAAAACTAAGGTACTGTATAATTACCGACATTTTTAGTTGACACTACACTTAATATTGAAATCCACCTTCGAGTTTCTTATTTGAATCTTATTCTACTTATAAATTTAATGAGGCAGCTTTCAGTCAAAGTGAAGTCCTAATTGTGCTATGAATGTGCTCAAAGTGAGTAAAGGGTTCAGTCCCTGAGATGATTTCTAGAAGGCAGTCCCTCCCTTGCACTGCCTTCCTTAGCAAACACTGGCAAGGTCTATTTCTGAAGTCCGTCTCATTTATTTATT